AACCCTCCCCTTCCACGCTTACAGACTTTCAAACACATCCTCTTGCTGTCCGCAGCTCAGCCTTCGCCCTTACTGTGCTTGTGCAGAATCTGAGGTGCAGTCCTCGTGTCAGCCACTTCAACTAACCCCATCCATCTTGGCCCACCCAAATAGGCTTCTGCTGTGTGCTGAGGACTGTGAAGATGCGTTTCCATCCACAAGGACGCTCGAGAAACTGCATGGACTTACTGTGAAGGCATGGCCAGGTCTCTGCTGGGACTCCGCTTCTGCACTTGGACTGTTTCCTTTGTGGTGTCCTCAGAGTGGTTGAATTTGATCCACAGAGGATGGAGCGTGAAGTCTGTTGAGGGCAAAAAGTCATGGGCAGAGGAATAAGCTGTAGTGTGTGGCAACAGAAGGGACGATGGTTGGGGGGGAGGGATCCTAGTCAGTGCAACCCATTCTTTCTTCACCATGTGCTACTTCTCTGAGGACATCAGTGTCTTCCTTTACAAAAGAGGCAGAGCCATGCCACTTGCAGATTCGCTGATGATTCCACACAATGAGATGGGAACAAAAATGAAATCAAACCAGATGAACGCAAGCAAACATTTCCATTTGTCTCTCGGGACCTCAGCCTGAGACGGTTTGGCTGCAGTTCCGTGAGCAGAAATGACTCTTCTCTATTCGCACCACCTTCTCTGGGCCCTGAACTGTGTCTAGAGCAGCACTGGCTCATTATCGACTGATGACTTTTACGTGTGGGATACAAGAAACATTATGAAGCTAATTCCCAAGGACATTAGAAACCAGGGCGGCCAGAAGCCTGCCACAAGTGGGGGCTGTCGGGAGGAGAGTTAGGACAGAGAAAGGACAACTATGACAACGATCATGGAAATGATCACTTGATCACTTGGCTTCCCATTAATCGTCGATTTGCTCGAGCGGGCACCAGTAACGTCTCCATTGGTCCCTGTCGTGTGCTAGTGTAGCCCAATGGCGTCTGTTCATTCTAGGAACATGAAGAGCCTCAAACTGATCGTCGTTCATATTCTAAGGCGATTAGAGGCCGCCCCCAAAGCCTCTATCCCTCTCGGAGAGCCTGGTAAGCTACCGAGAGTATTCCCCCCGCACGGCAAAGCCTCGCAAGCTATCCATTGTGTATTCGATATGCCAAAACCAGTAATTACAATGGGTCTCGTGGAAATGATCACTCTGGACAAAAGCCCAGTGCTGAAAGAGGTAAAGAGACATACATGATAATCTCTTGGTATCTGTATTACAAACCACAATGCTCAAAAGGGGGGGGGGGTGGAGAGAGAGAGAGAGAGAGAGAGAGAGAGAGAGAGAGAGAGAGAGAGAGAAAGAGAGAGAGAGAGAGAGGAAAGCGCCTTCCATAGAGGCAGGTGGGGTGGGGAGGTGGGAGAGAGACTGGGGACACTGGTGGTGGGAAGGTGTTGGAACACTGTATGACTGAAACTCAACCTTGAACAAGTTTGTATGTGTGTATCTCATGGTGTTTCATTTTTTTTTAAAGGCTCTTTCTTCTGGAGGGAGAAGGAAAAGCACAGGATGATGTCAGAAACAAAAGAAACAAAACATATGCAGAAAGAGAGAGAGAGAGAGAGAGAGAGAGAGAGAGAGAGAGAGAGAGAGAAAAGAAAGGTGCTGCTAGGAGGGTCCACTCCGGGTGGAAGATACGGGCTGTAAGTAGACTCTAGACCAAACATGACAGCCACTCAATACCTCTATTGCAAACCACAACACCCATAAAGAGAGAGAGAAAGAGAGAGAGAGAGAAAGAGAGAGAGAGAGAAAAAGAGAGAGAGAGAGAGAGAGCAAAAGGGAAAACCCTGCCACAGAGGCGGGGTGGGGGGGTTGGGGGTGGTGGGAGGGACGCTGGAACCATTGGTGGTGGAAAATGTGCACTGGTAGAGGGATGGGTACTCGATCATTGTATGACTGAAACGCAAGCGTGGAAATTTGTAAGTCTGTAATTGTACCCCACAGTGATTCACTAACAAAAAATTAAATTAAAAAAAATAAAAAAAGAAAAGTACTGCAATAGAAAAAAGCTGGGGAGCGTGGAGGTATCCAGAGGGGAACTGGAGACATTGGTGATGGGAAATGCACACTGGTTAAAGGATGGGTCCTGGAACATTGTATGACTGAAACCCAATCATGAACAACTTTGTGACTGGTGTATCTCACTGTGAAAGAAATAAATTAAAAATAAATACAGTAGCACTGGCTCTCCATAAATATTTACTGTCCGGTCAACCACTGTATCCCTTGGTTTTGCACTGAAGTGGTTTCTCCTAATCATCTCTGGCCATCTCATGTCATCTTTAATACACTTGCAACCCTGGGGGGGAGGGGACGGTGGAGGAGAGAGGAACTTTTGTTTGGGTTAAAAATGAGGCTCACCCAAAAAAAGAGATTAGATTTTCTTATTATCCTCATTGACTTGGCATGCAAGGCAATTCCCCAAATGGTCTAAATAACAGCGATCCACGGCAATTCCCCAAGTGGTCTAAATAACAGCGATCCACTAGAGGGACGTCATTGCCTTCCAAAAGAGCAGTCTGGGAAGGAGCCACCTTGGGGTGGCTGTGCGTGTAGCATCTGCATGTACATGTGTGATGCACTGGAGTGTCCGCGTGCACATGTATGTGTGATATAGTCTGCATAGGCAGATACATGTGTGATATAGTATGCATAGGCACATATATGTGTGATGTACTGGAATGTGCGCACACACAAACGTGTGATATATTGGCGTGTGTGCATATGCACATGCATGTGTAATGCGTGTAAACAATCCACGAGTCCCACGGCTTTAGCCCGAGACACAGACCGTGCACAGGAGTCCCTGGCCCTGGGCTGCATGCTCTGACCCGTCACCTGGGAAAGGAGCTGGCTGGCAGAGGCCTCGGACCCCAAGTGAGGAAGCGCGGCCACTAAGTGTGGGGGTGTGGCTGCTAATTAGACAGTGTGGCCCTGTGTCAACAGGTGAAACAGACCAGAAGGGAGGTGGGGCTGGGCTGGGCTGAGCCCCGGATGAATCAAGCCTTTCAGCGGGGCGGGGAGTCCCTTCTAAAACACTAGCCTTGATTAAATCCTCTATAAAAGGCTCGGTCTCACTGGCCAGCCACTTCTCACGCCGCTCATAGCCCCATCCCGCCGCGCCTTAGGTAAGTCCTCCCCCGAGGAACCTCTTTCTTACTCCCTGTGTCCTGCTCACCTGAGCTCATGAAACCTGGACTGACCGTGCTGGTCAAGGATAAAGTGTCCCTGTCGGCAGGATGAGCTCCCTCCTCCTCCTCTGTGGCCATCATCTTTGTAGCTGCAGCCAGGAACAACCCACGGACCTCTTCGACTAGCAAAACTCTCCTGTTTTTGAAGTCCTGAAAGGCTCTTTGCAGCGCCTGGGGTCTGTGAGGCCAGAATCAAGTCTATTCTGTCAACTCAACAAGGGGGGTGGAAACTTGTCCAAGGAAAAGGGGGAGTGGGAGGAAGTCCACTGGGTGACTTTTAGGTAGGATCAATTTATGGATTTATTTCAAGGGATCTTAAATATAACTGAATGTCCGTTTTACTATCATTACTGTTCATAGGCAGTGGGTGATGACTGCCACATGATTGTAAAGAAATGTTCAAAACAGGATCTTTTCAGGTCTCTGTGGATGCTTGTACCTTTATGTGACTTTCTGACGTTTTATCTTGATGTTCAGAGGAAAGCAGCCTGCCTAAAATTTTTGGCTACCAAATCAGAGAAAAGACGCCCTGCAAGAGTCCAGTGAGGGTGTGCAGCCCCGTCTGCTCTGACCCCTCTTTCCCTCCTTCAGTGTCCTGCCTCTGAGCGTCACGCTCTGGCTGTGTTCTGTTCTCCACAGCCCCTTCCCTCCTGCAGTTCTGCAGCCTTCCTGCCTCCACTGCATCTGAACTTTGCCATCCTTGGTGCCACACCCTCTCTCCTCCCTCTCTCTGAGCCTTCCGTTTGGCGCATCTCTGGGTCTCTTGCTCATGCAACATTTCCTTCACTCTGCCCCAAATCCCAGGCTGATGAGGAGGGAAATCTCTCCCTCAGTGGGAATCATTCTTCATCGGCCACCAGGGCTCCAAGCTTAAAAGGAGTCACGCACTTGGAAAGGCAGATTGCCCTCTTTCAGGGGCCAGGGCGGAGGACTAAGGTCACTTTCAGAGAATCTTGAACTTTCAGAGTCCAGTTGGGGATGGTACCCCCGCCCCCTTCTGCATCCCAGCAGCTGGGAGTGCAGACTCGTCCTGAATACCTTCCCCCAGGGAAGCTACAGAGGGCAGATTTTGGCCCCTGTGGCTTGTATGTGGCCTCCATTCACAAGTCCAGAACTGACTCGAGTACATACATGCTGCTTGTTATGCCCCTGTGGGACCTCACGGCCCTAGGATTGGTAAGGAGCTCTCTGTCCACAGCTAGGGAGCGGTCTCTGTGCAAATAATCTCATATCTCTGAGTTTGTTTCGTTGCCTATTAAAAAATAAAGTGAGATAATAAGGGTGACGAGAGGTGATGAATATGAAAGTGTCTAGTGTGCAGCAGAAAACACAGATGGACATAAATTATATTTGTACGTAACTACATAATAATGATGTTTAATAGCCAACACTTAGAAGCCAGTAAATGCCAAGTGCTTTACTTAAATTATCTCTTTTAATCCTCACAGTAATCTTATAAAACAAATATTGGTATTCCCTTCATTTCACAGTGAGTACACTGAGGCAATAAGAGGCAAAGCATCTGGCCTTGCCTAGCCCACCTGAGAGGTGGTGAGGCTGGCAGGGACATTCCAGCACAGTAGTTGCACATCTAAGGACCACGTGCCTCTCCTTCCCGATGACAAAGTTCAGGGAGTAGGGCTGGCCAAGGAGAGAGGCCAGAAGAGAAAGAGGCCAAGGGAAGGAGGTAGGAGCAGCAGTTACGCTGGGAACTGTGAGTTGGATGATGAGCCCCAAGGGGGCTTTTCTTCTTTCTGCAGCTTGACTGTGAAGATGCCGCAGTTACTGGGAAACATTAACGGGATCATTGAAGCCTTTGAACGCTACTCCAGGACTGAAGGGGGCTGTGCTGTGCTTAGTCGAAGCCAGCTGAAAAAGCTCCTGGAGCAAGAATTCGCTGATGTCATTGTGGTATGAGGGGCCCAGCCAGACCTGGAGTGGGCGGGAGAGGAGAGAGAACATGATTCACTTGCATTTGCTTTGCCTTCAGAGTCTGAGGAAGCAGCGGTTACACAGCTGTGTGGGCAGACACAGAGAGGAGAGACACAGGAGACGGTCATGGTGCGAGCAGGTCCTGGCCTTAGAGAAATCACCGTGACTTCAGGGACTCTAATTCAAAGTCAAGGAAAAAGGGGCTCTAAAGGGACAGCACAGAAAGGAACAGAGCCTTTGAACACTTTAGCAAGGAAAATAATTGCCACTTCCGGTTCCTTTTTCTATCTGACACATAACATTCCCCATGTCTATCAGATACTTGATCACCCATTAATAAGCACCATGAGAAGCCTTGCATTAACCGGTGGCGCATCTCATCAGACACAAGGTTGCAATGGGCAGATTGTTAACAGCTCAGGGGACACACCGGAAGCCAGAACCAGGGCCTCGACACCCTTCCCTGACCTTGGCTCACATCTAACAAGACAAAGGTCTGAGGGAACAATGGGGTGCTATTTATTTATATGTAGGTTTACCCATGGTCAACCAGACCCCTACCACCTTACCCTGGGGATAAACCACAGACTCCACAGGCTTCTCAGGTCATTTGTCCAGGGTGAGGTTCTGAATGTGCTTCTTCTGGTGGTGGGCTCATTGCAGAAACATACCCTCAGTGCTGTAGGCCAGGGGCTGAGGAAAACCCAAATAATCCTTCTAAATGCCAGCTTGTATGCATTTATTCTTCATGGCTGGAGCGATAGCACAGCGGTAGGGCATTTGCCTTACACGCAGCCAGCCTGGCCGAGCCAGGTTCGATTCCTCCACCCCTCTCAGACAGCCTGGCAAGCTACCGAGAGTATTCAATTTGCCAAACACAGTAACAAGAAGTCTCATAATGGAGACGTTACTGGGCCTGCTCGAGCAAGTCTTTACCCAGTTCTCCTATAAGGCAGAAGTTGTGTCAGACACAGAGGAAACAAACATGCTCATACCCTTGAGGAAAAGAGATGAGAGGAATAGCAAAGGGACTGCATGTTCACGCACTATTGCTGTATGAGTGCAGGGACAGGGCTTGAGCCGGGGCTTCTGGTCTGACGCTGAGTGAACTCATGTAAGCCCGTCTTCCTCAAAGGAGGATGCTGATTTAGCCTTGTCTTCTCCCCAGAGACCCCACGACCCGGCCACGGTCGATGAAGTGTTGCGCCTGTTGGATGAGGATGGCACAGGGACTGTGGACTTCAAAGAATTCCTTGTCTTGGTGTTCAAAGTTGCCCAGGCCTGTTTCAAGACACTAAATGAGAATCCCGAGGGAGCCTGTGGATCAAAGACATCTGGAAGCCATCCCACCGGGGCCTTCCAAGAGAAAGGAGGACAGAAGAAAGACTCTGAGCGGGGAAGGGCTGGGCACAGCCAGGGCACCAAGGAGAGCACCCTTGGACAGTCACAGATTTCCAAAGGGCAGGGCCAGGCAGCGGCTAAGGGCCAGGGCCAGGGCAGCAGCAGAGACAGGCAGCCCAGAGCTCAGAGCCAGCTGGCGGGAGGAGACAAGAGCCATGAGACCAGTGAGAGACAGTCACAGACCATGAAACAGGAAGGATCCCACCAGACAGGCAAGAGTGTGACCAGAACTGGAACCCAGGTGCAGACAGGTGTCACCCACAATGTGAGTCAGGGTGGGGGCCGACTGACCGGAAGCAGCGTCACCCAGTCTCAGCAATCCCATGGTCAGAATAGAGAGACTGAGACTCACAGTCAAGGCAAGGGTCAGACAAGCCAGGGAGTGACCGCAGGACAAGTGCAGACACAGACAGGACCTTACACCCAGACACATACCCAGACCACAGAGCAGAACAGGTACCATCAAACTCGAAGCACCACCTCTGATCAGAACAGAGGGACGGAGACCCATGGTCGAGATAAGAGCCCAAAGAGCCAGGGAATGGCAGGAGGACACATTCAGATGGGCTCACAAACCCAGAGGCACACCCAGACCACAGAGCAGAACAGGCACCATCAAACCGGAAATATCAGCAACCCAACTCAGCAATCCACCTATGACCAGAGCAGATGGACCGAGACCCACGGGCGAGACAGGAACCAGACAAGTCAGGGGGTAACAGGACAATCACACACACAGACGGGGTCTCATGGCCAGACACATACCCAGACCACAGAGCAGAACAGGCACCATCAAACCGGAAATATCAGCAACCCAACTCAGCAATCCACCTATGACCAGAGCAGATGGACTGAGACCCACGGGCGAGACAGGAACCAGACAAGTCAGGTGGTGACAGGACAATCGCAGACACAGATGGGGTCTCATGGCCAGACACATACCCAGACCACAGAGCAGAACAGGCACCATCAAACCGGAAATATCAGCAACCCGACTCAGCAATCCACCTATGACCAGAGCAGATGGACGGAGACCCACGGGCGAGACAGGAACCAGACAAGTCAGGTGGTGACAGGACAATCGCAGACACAGACGGGGTCTCATGGCCAGACACATACCCAGACCACAGAGCAGAACAGGCACCATCAAACCGGAAATATCAGCAACCCAACTCAGCAATCCACCTATGACCAGAGCAGATGGACCGAGACCCACGGGCAAGACAGGAACCAGACAAGTCAGGTGGTGACAGGACAATCGCAGACACAGACGGGGTCTCAGAGCCACACTGTGGAACAAGGCAAGAACCCAACATCAGGCCAGGCACAGACTCAGACACAGTCAGGCAGTGGGCCCAAATGGACACATGTGAGCAACCACCAGGCAGGACAGACAGTGCAGGAGGGACAGGCCCAGACTGGACCGAGCACTGGGAGACAGGAGGGGAGCAGCACTCGCCCAGAGTGCAGTGGGACTGGAGGGCAAGGAGAGAAGGAGTCCACAGTGGTTCATGGGGAGTGGGTTGATGACCACACAAGGGAGACGGAGCGAAGGCAAGGAGAGAACGAGTCCACGGTGGTTCACAGGGAGTGGGTTGATGACCACACAAGGAGGATGGAGCGAAGGCAAGGAGAGAACGAGTCCATGGTGGTTCACGGGGAATGGGTTGATGACCACACAAGGGGAACGGAGCGAAGGCAAGGAGAGAACGAGTCCACGGTGGTTCACGGGGAATGGGTTGATGACCACACAAGGGGGACGGAGAGAAGGCAAGGAGAGAACGAGTCCATGGTGGTTCACGGGGAATGGGCTGATGACCACACCAGGGATACAGAAATCCAAGGGCAGGCCCAGGGCAGCCTACACACTAGTGTGCCTTCATTCCAGGGCCAGGAGTCAGTCCAGCAGGAAGTGAAGGGAGGCATCAGTGGACTCTATTCCTACTTTAAGCGTACCAAGCCATGAGTGTCCCTCCTCCCCACCCCCCATGAACTACAGTGCTAGGAAAGGGATAGCTAGAGAGGGGTGGTTGGTCCTGCCCTGTACAGTTCAGTATGCAGGTCCCTGGACATCAGCTCTTAATCACAGTGCTTCATTCTTCAGTCTTTCTCAGTAATAGTATTTCTGCAAAGTACCCTAGACTCCTCTTACCTCCTTTACCTCTCAGGAGCTGGAATTGAGAGAAAAGTAGTTCTTTCATATCGAATTCTCCCTAGCTGCCCATTGCTATTTGTCCATTGCTCCATCTATCTGCAGGCATCAATAAAAGACTTCATAAACTACCAGGCTCTTGTCTCATTCAATCACTTCCAGTGGTAAGACTCACAGAGCTGTGATAAGGAACTAGGTGTGGTCTGACACTGGGAGATGTCAGTTGAGAAGAGACTGATGAGATTCAAAGAGCTGTAAAGAGTAGATATCAAACTTTAATGCTGACAGGAATGAATTTGGAAAGGTTACAAGCAGAAAAAAAAAAGAATCTCTTTTGTAATGCTCTGGAAGGACAAGCAGGATTTCAGAGGGTAAGCTATTATTAATCTATCATGACCTAGAACTCTCTGCTTGCCTCTACGGGAACATAGAAGACTGAACCCCAGGAAGAAGACGAAGAAGACGTCCAGGGAATGTGTAGAAGAGGGGAGGAGATGAGGCAAGAACCAGGTCTACAAGCTCCCGATCCCACCTCCTTGTCAGTTCTGCTCTGATATTTCTCGAGGTCTTACCCATGGATTAGGAATAAATTAAGAGATAGAGCTTCTTAGGTCTTTTTTATTCAAGAATCACGTGGGAATATTTTTGAAATAAAGATACAGAAGACACAGAAACCTAATACTGGAGATGTTGCGTCTAAAGGTTTCGAGTGGAATTTAGAAATATTTTGAAACATTTTAAGAAGCCTTCTGATCCTTGCAGTGTGATAGATCAGATGCTTCAGAAGGTTTCCCACAATGATATAACTAGATCCTCCAAAAAGCCTATATACCACGCAATGCTGACTTACAGGATGTAAGAAAGTGTCCAAGGATTAAAAAATAATCTGGTCAATTGAGCAACAGCCCCCTGAAATGTGTAATCTTAGTCCACATGCTGTTGCCCCCTAGTGGTGGTAAAGGCAAAGAATGGACTCTCTGGAACTGAAGAAGCAGAAACTAAGACAGATTCAGTGGTGCCCAGAAGAAAGCTTGGAGTGACCGCCTGAGGCTGTTCTGAACCCCCAGCATAACTTCCCTTGCCAGAGTCACTCCTGTCACCTGGACTTGCCTACACTTCCCTGGAGAGCTTCATCTCTTGCCTGGACTTTGGTTCCACTGACAGAAATGACCAACAGTGGGTGCTTGATTCTCTCATATTGTTTCTGGTGCAGTCTGCAGATAGCAGAGAGAAAAACATCCCTTGGTTCCCCTCTTCAGGCAGGAAGCATCAGTCTCCCTGGAACTGAGGCTGCAGCCAAGGATGCGCTTGGCCCCTCATAGGGGCTTCAGCTGTGGCTTCAACTTCAGGCTGATGCGGGTCGCCTGGCTCCGTGGAGACTGTTCTTCATCCTCATTTTCTATGTGGATTACAAGCCCCCTCCCCCATCCTCACATCTTGCAGAAGGCACATCCTAGTACATAGCAAGGAGCGACAGCACAGCGGTAGGGCGTTTGCCTTGTGCACAGCCAGCCCGGCCGAGACCGACCTGGCCAACGCGGGTTCGATTCCTCCGCCCCTCTCTGAGAGCCCGGCAAGCTACCGAGAGCATCTTGCCCACATGCCAAAGCCTGGCAAGCTACCTGTGACGTATTAGATATGCCGAACACAGTAACAAGAAGTCTCAAAATGGAGACGTTACTAGGCCCACTTGAGCAAATGGATCCTAGTACATATTTTCATTTAATGACGGGGGAGGGAGAGGTGAATTGAGAAATTAAAGCACTCAAATCTCAAATGGTTTGTCATTTGTCAGGTGGAAGAAAGAGAGATTTGTGGATCTGCAAGGCCCCATTTTATGGAGCCTGTGGAAGCAGTGAGGCTGAACTCTTGAGGCAGCAGCTCCTCCTGGACGTCTGGGGAAGGGTGGGCTGACCCTCATTCTCACAGCATCCAGCGTGTCTCTAGGGAAAGACAGGTTCATTCCCTGGCATGACCAAGGGTGCACAGAGGGTTTTATGAAATTCTATAAGCACTGGAGAAGAGCCGGTATCACAAAGACGATGAATAAAATGGGGACAACCAAAGAGAATTATATGTTGGCTAGGTTTCCAGGGACAGTAAGAAATGCACACCACTGGAAGTCTTTACTCCCCTGTCTAGAAAGAAAGCAAACCAGTTCTGATAGCCAGCCAGTCAGGTTTTCATCCAGATCCAAAGTTTTGCCAAGGTTTTGTTCAATTCTCTACTGAGAGGGCAGAAACTCATTGTGTGTTTTTAAATATTCTAAACAAAGGGGAGAAAACTTTATTAAGAAAATTTATTTGCTGAAAATTTATTTATTTTGTTCGCCACAAAATCACAAGCAGAGAACAACAACAACAAGAAAGAAACAGAGAGCTAGTCCAGCAGGTAAGACACTCCTTACACATGGCTGATCCACGTTTGGTCCCCAGAACCCACCAGGAATGATTCCTGAGCACTAACTCGGGAGTAAGTTCTGAAAACACCACTGGTTGTCACTCAAAACTAGGGAAAAAAATCCAATAATCTTGCCTCCAAATAATTATGATAATTTTATTCCTTTCAGACTCTTTTCTATATGTAAATAACCAAATATTTATAGGGAAATGCATATTATAATTATGTGATAATTTATATGCAAAATACTTTAAATAATAAATATGTGTAAAACAAATCATAGTTACATGAACATTATATTTTTATATGTATAGATATACATAAATTACACAGATAGCTTCCATGGGCTATTTTTGTAACCTAGAGTAAGCTGTACCAGTAGAGTTCAGTAGTTGATCACATGGTAGGAAGCCAGGACCCTAAGGTTCAATCTTCAGTTGTACACCCTACAAAATGGGTGTCTTTATTTAAGGGACCTATATGAATTGAGCTCACCTATAAAATGTGGGAAACAGATATTTCCTCACAGTACTTGTGAGAAGAAAGAAATCTCTCTTTATAAAAGCATATATATGCTTTGCATGTTGCATGTTAAGAAAGGGATGGGGAATTCTTAAGATTAGCAAATCTGTCTGAGCTAGGAGAAGATAGAAATGGCTCAAATCAGCCCGACCTTGAGCTAGTATACAAACTTTTAAAGGTTCTTAAAAGATAGCAATTCATCCTCTGAGTAGCTGCTGTGGACAATAGTTCTGTGAAGAAGATTTCAATTGCAAAGAAAACCTAATGATTAGGGTGGAGTTTCAAGAGTATTATTTCATATGCACCCTCTACATGTAAGAACAATTCTCCCCACTTCTTCCAGCACCTGTTCTAGCAGAAAAAAGTCAGTTTCTGTCCATTTCTCTTCCTTTCAAAAGGTAGAGAAGGTAGGGAGTGTGTCTCTAGTAGTTTATTTTCACACAGAACTTACGGAGAGAAATAGTGGATGAGGAGGACGTTTATTAGCCAATCTCATGTAATGCCTCAATTATTGCACCTGACCTTGAAAGATGTGATTAGTAAGCTAGAATGAACTGGATAGCACTGAGCTATCAGATGAATCTATTGTTTTGTATTATGATATATTTCACCATGATCTTGATGCAGTCATCTTTAGGGTCTACTTTTATTGTTGTTCCAAAAGGAAGTCATAATCTGAATGAAAATTCCCATATACAGAACAAAATCTATCTCAATTTTAATCCTAATCCTAAATACAAATAATCCCAAATAATAAAAATGAGATGGTGTGCCACATGCTTATTTATATGTTATTGTAAATTTATGGGGCATCAGCTTCCTGCCGGGCATTTTATCCATTGCCTGGAGCACCCAACGTTTTCTCACAGAGCAAATGCCAAGCGAATAGATATAGTTAAAGGTTTATTGAGATAACCAGGAACGTTGGCTAATTTTAGCTCCTCTTTCTAAAGTTGAGCTAAACCTGTGGCCACTCTAAACTGACCTTAGCCTTCGTGTGATCCCAGGTGCCGCTTCTACAGCCGTCACCACTTCTGAAAATGGGAGCTTGCTCCTTCTCTGGTACAGAGAGATGTATTTGTAATGAAACTCTAGTCTCCATAGCCACAACCTCCGTCTCCCCAAACATCCTCTGTCAAGTCATCAGCAATCTTTCCCACTGCCTGCCACTCACAACAATCACACAGTTGCCCTTGGAGAACAGAGAACTAAAGTCCACTTCTATTTTCCATGATACACCAGCCAGGAACTCGATGCTCTAATAACCATCTATTTTATGATAAGATCAGTAGACTTGCCTATTGTTGAAGTGTTTGTTTGTCTTGAATGGGTGTTGTACAATTTAATTACACCACCTTACCCACAATCAATAAAGATTAAGTCACACCTTAGCATAATACAAGATACTGTTTATCCCCAAAGTAAGTAGCAATGCAATGATCTAAAGTAAACCACAGGTTCGTGGGATTTTCACACATGATTGGGTCTTTCTCACTTAGCCAGTTCTGGCCTTCTGTCTTCCCACTAGAATTTTTTACCACATTAAATGTCTGATTTCTCTGCCCTCTAGTCGTCCATATATGTCTCACCCACATGGACGTGGGGCCTGCAGGTGACTGCTGTGATTTGTGGTATCTGTTGAAACCAATCAAATTATCCAGTTCAGTGTCATGCCACAAGTGTTAAACCCACACACTTACATAAGTAATTTGACCATCCAATACATGGAGACACCTTTCAGCCCCTTGCACAGATTGATAATCCTTACCCTGAGGTAAGGATCTAGGAATCATTAATACAATTTGTCTATGCAATGATTTCCAGTTTCGACTTTACCCATCTTTTCAGGGCTGTCCCACACCCAGGGTTCTAGTTGTTTCTGACAGGGTTGGTTTGGTGGCAAAATATCCACTGCCAGTCTTTACTGCAGGCATATGAGAGAGACC